GGGATTACAGGCATGAGCCACAGCGCCCAGTCTCCATTCTTTATTCTATATTCTCTTCAACCGGGGACCCAGGCAGGAAGAATAATCAGTCCCACCCGGGACACGCTCTTCTTGTGGCAGAGGGAGAGAGCAATGGTTCTGAAAGCTGTGCTCCAGAGTGCACACATAACCTCCACTCACATTTCAGTGACCAAGCCTGACATCCATGGGATGGGAAGTAAAGCCTCTCACAGGAATGGCCACCAAATTATTGAAAACAACAATATAAGCTACCACATATTTCTAGAAACGCTTTTTGTTTTAGAGTCTATTTATCCAGTGTTTTTTGGTTTTTGAGACTGAATCTCGCTCTGTTGCCCAGGCTGGATGGAGTGCAGCGACGTGAACATAACTCACTGCAGCCTCAAACTCCTGGGCTCAAGCGATTCTCCTGCCTCAGCCTTCTGAGTACCTGGACTACAGGTGTCACCACACTGGCTTTTTTTTTTTTTTTTTTTTTTTTTTTGAGATAGGGTCTTACTCTATTGCCCAAGCTGGAATGCAGTGGTGCAATCATGGCACCCTGTGGCCTTGATCTCCTGGGCTCAAGTAATCCTCCCACCTCAGTCTCTCAAGTAGCTGAGACCACAGATGTGTGCCACCACACTTGGCTAATATTTTTATTTCTTGAAGAGAGAGCATCTCATTATGTTGCTCAGGCTGAAATTTTTTAATTTTATAGAGACAGGGTCTCACTATATTGCCCAGGCTGGTTTCAAACTCCTGGCCTTAAGTGATCCTCTCAGCTAGGCCTTCCAAAGAGCTGGGATTAGGGGTATAAGCTGCCACAACCATCCTTATTTATCAGATGTTAATATAATTTAACCAGCACAGAATCTCTTTTGCCATTCCTTTACCCCAATTTTTCTTTTTTTCCTTTTCTTTCTTTTTTTCTATTTTTTTGAGATGGGTCTCACTCTGTTGCCGAGGCTCAAGTGCAGTGGCATGCTCATGGCCCACTGCAGCCTCAACCTCCTGGGCTCAGGTGATCCTTCCACCTCAGTCTCCCAAGTAGCTGGGATTACAGGTGCGTACAACCACACCATTTTTTGTAGAGATGGGGTTTCACCATGTTGCCTTGGCTAGTCTTAAACACCTGGGCTCAAGTGATCCACCTGCTTCCCAAAGTATCAGGCCTCTGAGCCCAAGCCAAGCCATCGCATCCCCTGTGACTTGCACATCCACATCCCCTGTGACTTGCACGTATATGCCCAGATGGCCTGAAGTAACTGAAGAATCACAAAAGAAGTGAAAATGCCCTGCCCCGCCTTCACTGATGACATTCCACCAAAAAAGAAGTGAAAATGGCCAGTCCTTGTCTTAAGCAATGACATTACCTTGTGAAATTCCTTTTTCTGGCTCATCCTGGCTCAGAAAGCTCCCCCACTGAGCACCTTGTGACCCCCACTCCTGCCCGCCAGAGAACAAACCCCCTTTGACTGGAATTTTCTTTTACCTACCCAAATCCTATAAAACAGCCCCACCCTTACCTCCCTTCGCTGACTCTCTTTTCGGACTCAGCCCGCCTACACCCAGGTGATTAAAAAGCTTTATTGCTCATACAAAGCCTGTTTGGTGGTCTCTTCACACAGATGCGCATGACACAAAGTACTAGGATTACAGGTGAAAGCCACTATGCCTGACCTCAAATTTTCTTTAGGTTTGTGTTTTAAGTAGTGTATAACTAGATTTTTTTTTTTTTTTTTTAATCTCATGTTTCCACTTCATCCTCCCAAGTTGCTGGGATTACAGTCGCCCACCACCACGCTTGGCTAATTTTTTTGTTTTTGTTTTGTTTTGTTTTGAGATGGAGTCTTGCTCTGTCGCCAGACTGGAGTTCAGTGGCACAATCTCAGCTTGCTGCAGCCTCTGCCCCCGCCCCAGGTTCCAGAGATTCTTCTACCTCAGCCTCCTGGGTAGCTGGGATTACAGGCACGCACCACTACACCCAGCTAATTTTTGTATTTTTAGTAGAGACAGGGTTTCATCATGTTGACCAGGCTGGTCTCGAACTCCTGACCTCAGGTGATCGGCCCACCTCAGCCTCCCAAAGTGCTGGGATTACAGGCACGAGCCACTACACCCGGCCATTTTCTTTCTTTCTTTCTTTCTTTTTTTTTTTTTTTTTTTTGTATTTTCAGTAGAGATGGGGTTTCGCCATGTTGGCCAGGCTGGCCTTGAACTCCTGACCTCAGGTGATCTGCCCGCCTCAGCCTCCCAAAGTGCTGGGATTATAGGCATGAGCTGCCATGCCCAGCTGCCTGGCAATTTTTCCAGAGTTTCTTGATACTTGTGCTTTTAGCCCCTTTGTTTTTCTAAGCATGCTTGTTTTATATTGTGGTTCTAAAATATCAAATATCTAAAGCTGGTGTGGATCCACCTCTACTGCTTGTCTTCTCTGCTTATTTCCTCAGGGGGTTTGTGGTTTCCGGTTGTGAGTTCATATTTATTTAGAACCCTATCTGTGGGAATTCTCTGAAGCCTGGGTTGCCAGCAAGTTTTTTCAGAGATTTGTGTTTTGGCCAAATACTGTAGGCACCACCTACCCAGGTTCATTTCAAATTAAAATGTTCAGATTGTGGGCTTTTGAACTATGCAAATTGTGTGGCCATGTGATAGTCAGACTTTTTTAGCCATGAATCCTCCAGGGCAATGATTTCCCCTTCTGCTCAGAACCAAGGCACAGAGAGACATCTTTAACTGCTGCCTACCTCTGTATGGCAGATTTTTTCCCCTGTAGTTTATCCTTCACCTGAGGACATATTTCTTCTTGAGTCCCAACCTGATGTTGCAATTTGACTTTAATCCTGTCTGGACCCAGGTGAATGCTCCTATAGTTGGTAGCAGTATCAGTGTTTACCTATCTCCAGAGATAATTTTGAAAATATTTGTCAGTACAGGGCATGCACCAATGGATCAGAACAGATGCAGACTTTACCTCTGCGTAATTTCTGAACATCAATTGTTTGACTTCCCAGGCCTGTGTTCTTGTTTTCCTCCTAGCTTCAGATAATTTTCCTGACTTTTTTTTTTTGCAAGTATATCCATGCGTTTAAGAGGGTATTCTAAATATTTCTTCTAGCAATTTTATCTATTTTGTTGCAGTAATATTTGGAAATATATAGTCCTCAATATTGCCAGAAATAAAGTCCAAGTAAGAAGTTTATTTGTCTCATGCAACAAAACACTTAAGGGTGTCCAAAGCTGGCACTGTGGCCTAATGTCATATGGGACCTAGGTTCTCTCAATCTTCCTGCTTTGCCAGCCTTAGCATTTACTTACCACTTCATAGGCACATGATGGCAGTTGAACTTCCAAACTTCAGGTCTGCTTAGAGGCAGGAATAAAAGTGGCAAAACACTTAAAGAGTATACTCAACTAGGCTAGGCGCAGTTGCTCACGCCTGTAATCCCAGCACTTTGGGAGGCCAAAGTGGGTGGATCATAAGGTCAGGAGTTTGAGACCAGCCTTGCCAAGATGGTGAAACCCCGTCTCTACTAAAAATACAAAAATTAGCCAGGCGTGGTGGCGGGCACCTGTAGTCTCAGCTACTCGGGAGGCTGAGGCAGGAGAATTGTTTGAACCTGGGAGGCGGAGGTTGCAGTGAGCCAAGATTGCGCCACTGCACTCCAGCCTGGGCAACAGAGCAAGACTTTGTCTTAAAAAAAAAAAAAAAAAAAAAAAGGCGGGGGGGCTGGAGCATACATGTTTTAAGTAGAATCTTTGACAAGCTGTTCTGCATCCATTCCCATTTCTGTGCTTCCATATTTGTTTTCTTTCATTTCGCTTTCTAGAAATTTTTTCTTTTCTTTTCTTTTTTCTTTTCTTTTTTTTTTTTTGGTAGAATTCTCTCTAGAAAAGCTACACTCCTGTGTCCTAGGGCCTGACAACAAGCAAGACAGGCATAATAGCTGGGAAAACAATCAGCTTAAACTAAGACAGACAATATCAAAAGGGCATGTCTAGCCCACGAGAACATCCACCCTAAATCCAGAAGGCATTATGACCACATCTCTTCAGCTGCCTGGATTTCAGGTATAAATTAGCTCTTCTACAAAGAGGGCACTTGGTCTGTAAACGGGTCCAAAGGTAAGAGTCCCACTGCTATAAGACCTATCTCTCTTCTACACTAACATGGTGGGGCAAGGGGGAAGAAAGGGGCAAGAAGGATGGAGGGTTTTGGGAAGGAGTGGGAGAACTGGAGGCTAGAGAGATCGTTTCTGTCCCACCATCTGTATGACCCCAGTGCCCAGCACAATGCAGCCCACGGAAAGGCACTGGTCCTTTCATTGAACGTTTACTGAACATCTACTACATGCCAAAAAGCTGGATGGGTGCTGTGGAGGCAGAAATGGATTTGGAGATAATCTCCGCCAGGCAAACTGAGGTCAAGGTTTTCGTTTGTTTGTTTAGAGAAGAGACGGAGAAGGTCAAGGTGTTTTTGTTTTGTTGTTGTTGTTAAGAGTCTTGCTCTGTGTACAGGCAGGAGTGCAGTGGCATGATCTCGCCTCACTGCAACCTCTGCCTCCCGGGTTCAGACAATTCTCCTGTCTCAGCTTCCCAAATAGCTGGGACTACAGGCGCCAGTAACCACACTCAGCAATTTTTGCATGTTTTGTAGAGACAGGATTTCACCATGTTGGCCGGGATGGTTTCGAACTCCAGCCTCAAGCGATCTTCCCGCCTCGGCCTCCCAAAGTGCTGGGATTACAGGCGTGGACTACCGCGCCCGGCCTATGTCAAGGTTTCAAGAAGGTTTAGAACTGGGTATCTGCTCCCTTATTTTCAACAGCTTAGTCAATCCCTAAAATTGATTGACCCGCTCCAGACTGTACTGCGCAGGCGCCCGCTACCTATGCGCTCTCTCCGGACGCCCAGCTCAGACAGTGAATCCCGCATGCGCACTCCTCTTTCTCTCTGACGCACCCCCGGAAGCACTGTCAATTTCGGGGGGCGGGACCGGGAAGCGTTTCCGGGGGCTGAGGCACAGGCTGAATCTGTTGCGGCAGCAAAGGCTAGAACAGGCCTGCGCCGGCGGCGGAGAGGATCCCTTGGACGGGGGATGTGAGCGCTGAGCCCTTGGCAGGTACTGAGTGGCCAGGACCACGGGCGGCAAGGCTAAGGGAGGAGAAGTTGGTGGGGGAGTTAAGGGCTCCTCTGCAGGCCCCGACGCACGCGCCGCTTGCCCCGCCAGGCCCATTCCGTGGACCGGCATGCTAAAGCCCCGCGCGGAAGGTTGGGGTCCCGGCGCCCCAGCTCCGAATCCCGCAGTCTCCTGCCCACACGGCGCGTAGACCGCGATACCAAGGCCTTTGGGAAAGCTTCTCGCCCAAGGTCACCCTCGCGGCAGCGGAGCTCCGCCGGCCACAGCGCTTAGAGATCCTGCCCCCGTCCGTCCGCTGGCCTTTCGGGGCGAAGGGTGGGCGCGGCTTGACGGCCTCGGGTTCGAGCCACCAATGCGTGAAGCCTGAAGAGCCGAGCTGGCAGAAAGACTGCGCCTGGACTTCTCTGATCTTCTTTTCCCTTCTGTTTCACCCCGGTTGCTGTCTCTGTCACCTGTTGTAACCTGTCCTTTTTGTCTTTCAGCTAGGTCCCTGTCAACCTGATATTTCTCTCCACTTTGTCTTTCTCGGGGTATATGGATCCTGTTTCATATCTGTCTCCACCTTGCTTCTGTGTCTGTTCACCCTGTCTCTGCCACTCAGCCCTTACTCTAATTCAGGGCCTGTCAGTCTAGCTTTTTGGCCATCTGTCTGTTTTTCTCTCTTTCTTCCAACTTTTTTTTTCCTCTTGTTTCTGTTTCCTAGCTGAGTTTGTCTGGGTAGGGCAGGGCTGCCCAGACCTCTGAGCCATGGAAGGTGACTCATGACCCCGTGAAGCTCCCTGCACTGGTGACACTCTCAGTGACTCGACCGCAGTTTGGCCTCAGCTCTGACAGGTGTCGCCCAACATAAGTGTCAGAGTGCAGGAGAGTCTGTCAGGGAGACAGGAGGCCCATTTTAGGGCCAGAGCAGCTTGATGAGTCCTAGCCTTTTCTCGCCTGTGGTTTTTCAGGCCTGCACAGCTTCCCAAATCCCTTCACTCCATCCACTTAACCACGGGATGGTCTCCAGGGATCTCTGGAGCCTGCTCTTTGAGTTACAGCTGTTTAACAGGCCTGTCTACAGGCTAAAGAAGGATCAGACTGAGATCTTTGGGGCTACTGGAACAGTAGCAGAGTTTCTGGGAGAGCTGTATGCTTAGTTCAGAGACTGTGTCAGCATTTTCGGTTAAATTGTAAGAAACCTAATAATTGGGGATTTATTATTTGCTTTACAAAAGTACCACGGGAGAAATAAACCGTACACAAAAGGACAAATATTGTTTGAGAGCACTTAAATGAAGTACCTAGAATAAACCAATTAAGAGACGGAAAGTAGAATAGTTTACCAGGGGCTGGAGAGAGGAGTTAGTGCTTAATGGATACAGAACAGAGTTTTGGGGGATGATGAATAAAGTCTGAAAATGGGTTGTGATGATTGCACAATATTGTGAATGTACTTCACTGAATTGGACTCTTAAGAATGCTTAAAATTGTTAAGTCTTAAAGTTTTATGTATATTTTATACAATACAAAAAAACAAAAACAGTATTCATTGGAGACTCCTGAAACCAGTAAGCTCCTTTTACGTGTGATTTTGCAAAATTCATTCTGTAGTTGTTAGGAACATTTAGTTGAACCTGGGTTTATTGATTCCTACTCTCTTTACAGCAGTGGGTACAGCTGAGGTTCTTAGAAAAGTTTAGTTAAATGGATATGGTTAAAATCTTCCTCAAGCTTTCTACTTACTTTCTGCCCTGGCTCTCTTCCCTCCGCCTTTCTTGGAATCAGTGCAAGAATCTGCTCATAAGTAGCATACTTGATAATTATACTCTTCACAGGAAGAAAACTCATAAGGTTGAAAAATAGCCCTTTTATTATAATGCAAAATTATGTGTTATTTCTTGAGTTTTCTTATGGGGGATGCCTTTGTGGGTTTTTTGTTTTTTAAAATCTCTTATTTAAGCTCTTTGCCTTTAAGGTAGTTTATTAAACTTTCTTTTTTTTTTTTTTGAGACGGAGTCTCGCTCTGTCTCCTGGGCTGGAGTGCAGTGGCCGGATCTCAGCTTCATTGCAAGACTCCGCCCTCCCCGGAGTTCACGCCCATTCTCCGTGCACTCAGCTCTGACCGAGTAGCTGGGGAATACAGGCGCAGCCCCTACGCCAGCTAGTTTTTTATGTACTCCTCTCCCTTAGTAAGTAAGGTGGGGGTTCACCTTGTTGTCCAGGAGATGGTACTCGAAACACGTGTCTAATAAGGATATAGCAAACTGAATTTACTAGTTAGTCTTCAGTTGATATATACTCGCTAGATGCTGTTTGATTACTCTTGGATATGATATCCTACTAAGTGGGATAGTGAGAGGACTGAAATAGGCCACATGCTGTTCGTGATGATTTTTGAAACGATTTGGGACTTATAAGTAATGAAATGCGCCGACTGTACTTTGATCGAGGTCAGATTTTTATCTTAATTGTGTGTAAAAGCAGCTTCTGTTGGACGTTGGAAAACCAACTCATTTAAAAAATGGTAATAATCAATGCTTGATGCTAAGTGCATTCGTCTCCTTTTATCTCCATGGAACAAATCCTCAAGGATTAGATATGTGTGTTGTTAGATATGAGTATGAAATATGCTACATTACTATCAAGAGTATACTTATTTCCCTCTTATTACTTTTCCAGGTTCAGAGGTGTCCATATTTTTTCTTAGCGCTGTAAATCTTTGTGTCAGATGAAGCTACCATTGATGAGGACCCTCAGCTCTGTTTTCTCTGTTCATTGCTCCTCAGTTGCTGTGCCAAACCTTTCAATAACTGACCCTGAGGTGTCCATCCATGCATTATTTTCGCAGGGTTGCAATTTTAAACAATGCTGAATAAAATGTTCCATAGTCTGAAAAATGAAATTGAAAAATAGCTATCATTTTCGTTGAAGTTTCTCTTGTGCATTTTTTCTTTTCTTTTTTTTTTGTGATGGAGTCTCAGCCTTGCTCGCTCCAAGGCTAGAGTGCAGTAGTGCAGTCGCTGTGCTCACTGCAACCTCCACCTCCCAGGTTCAAGCGATTCTCCTGCCTCAGCCTCCCAAGTAGCTGGGATTACAGGCGCCTGCCACCATACACAGCTAATTTTTGTATTTTTAGTAGAGACAGGGTTTCACCATGTTGGCCAGGCTGGTCTCAAACTCCTGACTTCAAATGATCCACCTGCCTTGGCCTCCCAAAGTGTCGGGATTACAGGTGTAAGCCACTGCGCTGGACCTGAACTTTTCCTTTTCACTCTGTTTATATTTGCAGTTAGAATAGGGGCTTTTGTCTTACTTGTAACATATTGAGGACATAAGATTTTTTAAAATTTGTCGATACGTTGTTAATTTTATGAAATGAGTGCTGTTTCTGCCGTCTGCTTTATTGATTTCAACTTCTTATCCTGAATTCTAATGCACATGAGGGCACAGTTAAAAACATTTCCTTGGCTTTATTGAAATTTGATGGAAGGATGACTGATGAATGGAGGGTTAGTTTCTAGAACATTACCTTCTCTTTTGAATCTCAGAGAATTTGCTATAATGGAATGCTTGTCCTGGAAATTTTTAAGTAAAACATTCAGCCGTGGCTTAAAATTGAAGGGAGTCATGAATCAAACTTCATAAAGCAGGTGGCTTGTTTTTTTAAAACACATCTTAAAGTAGATTTTACTAAGTTATTTGGCCAAAGTGTTCTAATTAGGAAAAAAATAGAAGAATACTGATTGACAATGGTCAGGAGACCAATAGCGCTCTTCCAAAGGATATGTTAATTCTGCAAAATTACGTAGTCATCGATCATGTTGGTTTTCTAGTTTTAACAAATATGCCACAGTAATGGATGAGAGGTATACGGGAATTATGCACTGTCTTTTCAATTGTTTTGAAAATTTAAAATTATTACAAAATAAGTTTATTTTTTTAAAAAAGTACAAAGGCAGGAGCTACAAAGTTGCAGAATGAATTTAATATAACCAAAAATGCCAGTCTTGATTACTTTTCTTTCTGCCACTAATGTACATCTCCAGTGTTTTTTAGCAAATATACATGTACATAGCATCTCTTTTACATTTTCACTGTTACTCTTCCTTCCAGAAGTCAATGTGATTTTAATTTGAAGCAAAACTGAAATGGGTTCTTCTTCCTCATTCTATTCATATTGCTTTTTGATGGCCATGGCATAAGAAACTTTATCCCAGGAATACAGCTTTGCATTAGGTAAGCTATAAACTTGCTCTTAATACCATTGTTAAAAATTACTTACTGTAATCATTTCTCTTTTAGCAAAAATAATAATGTATTTTGTTAAGATATTTAATTCCTCTAGACCAGAAGATTCTTCTCTTCTGAAGAGATATTACGCATTCTAAGGCCCACCAATGACATACTTTGCACTGATAGAACATTTAATGTCAGATAAATTTTTCTGCCAAGTGATTTTTTTTTTAACTTAGAAAAATGTTAGATTTGGAGTTATGCTGCTGTTTGAATCCTGACATGCCATTTCTGAGGTGTGTAACCATGGGCAGGTCTTTTAATTTGAGCTTCAGTTTACTCATCTTTCAAAAGGATGCAATGATACGGGAGTGTTGCACAATGTAGGTTTACGTAGTGCGCTCTGTGAACTCTAAAGCATTTCACTAATGTAAAGAGTAGGCATAGGGAATTGGTATTTTTGTACATTTGTGCCAGGCTTTAAATTTACTGAAGCAACATTTACTATGTTTAAATGTGCTTTCTATAGTAAGCCTGCAAATTACCATATGCTCTGATTAAAGAAATCTCTGAAGGACTTCACAATAAGTAACTGGTGGGTCTGCTTCCCTATTATATTGCTGTCATCTGTGTTTTTAGGATGTTTAATTGGTGTTTAAATCACGTATAAAATTTGACTTAGAGTTCCTCAGCTGAATAATAAATAGTGGCTGCTATTAAACTCATCAAAGTTGGAGGGAATCTGAAGGTCATCTAGTTCAAGATTTCTTCAGTATGTTGCCCTTCATCTGCTTTTAAAAAGCCAAATAGCGGCCGGGCGCGGTGGCTCAAGCCTGTAATCCCAGCACTTTGGGAGGCCGAGACGGGCGGATCACGAGGTCAGGAGATCGAGACCATCTGGCCTAACAAAGGTGAAACCCCTCCTCTATAAGAATACAAAAAAAAAA